GGGACTCATCACCAGTTGGCTGGCTGTCTTCGGACCATGCTTCCCCCTCCTCAAAATCCCGCGAAGTGACAAAAACAGAGAATTCTAAAGTTCTTTGCAGCTTTTTTAACTCTAAGAAGCCTGTTGGTACTTTTAGATCTTAACTTTCTTACATCCCTATTTCCTCCATAAGGAAAATAATTCTCTCTGTAAATATGAGAATGCTATGTGAGACATCTTGTGTATTTTCACACAAAAGAAATTTCTTGTTGCTCCTCATTTAGGTTAATTGGTCTTTTATTCCTGATAACAAAATGACTCAGAATACCAGAAAAGGGATTTTGTGCTTATCTCAGAGAGTTGTCTAGAACTTACTGTGAAGAAGAGTCTGAGGGGAACCAGCAGTTAGCGTAATGACTATGTCACTGGACTCCCATGTAGTCGACCGCGGTTCATGTCCCAGACCCAGTGGCTTAAACTCACACCGGGTGCGTGTGCGTGTGTGCCCAAGATCCCGAGAGGAGAATAGAGGAGAAGGGACTGTGGCATGGCCATCCCCCCGGGGGGGTGATTTCTTGCTTTCTGTCTCTCTGTCTCTCTGTCTGTCTGGCAAGCACATGCGCCTTATAGCAAAATCCTCTCAAAAAAAAAAAAATAATAAAGAGTCTGAAGAAAGGGATTCTGAGGCACAGGAGACAATGACACCAAAAAAGAGGCAAGACTGAACAATTTCCAACATCTGTAGAAAGGAGAACTGAAACAAGAAAGCTTGTTCATGCCCAAAAAGTAGTACAGTGGCATAAGCATGTGGTTTCAAAAACCATTTGCTGGGAACCAGAAGTTAGTGTAATGGCTATGTTGCTGGACTCCCACGTAGTTGACTGCAGTTTCCTGCCCTGGCCCGGTGGCTTAAAACTCACGCCGGGCGCGTGTGCGTGCGTGCCCAAGATCCCGAGAGGAGAATGGAGGAGAAGGGATTGCGGCATGACCATCCCCCCTGGGGGGTGATTTCTCGCTTTCTGTCTCTATGTCTCTCTCTGTCTGTCTGGTGAGCGCACGCGCCCTATAGCAAAAATCTCTCCAAAAAAAAAAAAAAAAAAAAACATTTGCTGACTGAATGCCAGATAAACAAATAATAAGGATGAAAACATTTCTGATCAATTACCATGTGTGGGGCAACATTCTAAGGATTACACATGACAACTCACTTTATTATTACTGCAACCCTATAAGGTAAGTACTATCATTATTTTCCCCATTTTGCAGATGAGGAAACTGGGGCACAGAGAATGCAAGCAACTTCCCAAAGACACACAGATGAACCAAGATTTCACACTCAGGAAAGTCTCATTTCTAAACATTATGCGATACCACCTCTGATAACTGAGTAACCTGGCTGAAAAAAGTGACTATGTGAATGACACTGATGTTCTAGAGTTTTCTATTCTAGATCAACCAACTGCTTGGCCTCACAGTTAGTGCATAAAGTTGTGATCACAGTGTACTGTCTTCCACCTGGTGACTTACCATCCTTAGTCCTGGCGACCACGAAGGGACCAGATATGAAATAGAGACCTATAGCACCTCATGGTCAGTCCTTCTTACCATCTGTCTCAAGAAGTTAATCCTATTCCACAGTGTATGCTTGGCTTTAAACTTGATACCACTTACTGGCTGTGTAAAATTAGGCCTATTCCTTAGCTAAAACTCTAAAACTCAGTGTCTCACTTTTTTAAATAGGGATAATGAAAACATCTACTTCTTAGGACTGTTGTGAGAATTAAGTGAGTTAACACTGAAGAGAGTGTCTGGCACACATTGAGCACAAGCAAATATCAGTGGCTCTAATAATAATGTTTCTTCTCTTTCATGCTTACATCCAATCTGGAGGGAGGATTTTTGTTTTTGGTGCATGTGTGTGTTTTGTTTGCTTGTTTATTTTCAGTTTTGTTGTAAGGTGTGTGCACTTGCCAGAGGGAGTGAGAGGGTGAACATGAGAAAGCTCCCCCCAAGCAAGATGGCCATACTGCAATCTCTTCATTTTCCTTTTAGGATTTTGGGCATACATGTACAAATGCCTGGTGTGTTTTTCAAGCCACTGCGTCTGAGCCTCGAACTGTGCACTCAACCATGTGGGATCCAGCTGCCTTAACCACCATGCTACCAGCTGGCCTACCTACACCCATTTTTAAGCTCAAAATGTGTAAGATCATTACTATTTCAGCTTACTAAGGAAACAACTAAGATAGGGTGAATTCAGAAAGTCAATTAATGAAACTACAATACAACTCGCACTTAATAACTATTTATAGAACATCTTCTTTGTGCAAAGTGGGTAACAGTGAAAACCTCCCAGATACTATTTTTGTCTCTGGGGACTTATAGTATAGCATAGAGGAGGCAGCAAATGTGTGAATAAGTCCAGGGTGAAGAGGCACCTAACAAGGCTTAGGGGATGCAGAAGTATGCCCAGAGAAAGCTAGGTTCCAGTTGGGACCTTGGAGTAAGCCAAGTGACAAGGGCAGCAAAGAAGGGTGTTCCAGGAGGAAGGCAGAACATGTCCAAAGGTCGACAGCATGAGAAAACATGACATGCATGTTCTCTCATGACATGCTGTCCCCTGGACCTCAGACCTCCAGATCATGAGCTGAATAAACATTGAAGAAGAAAAAGACGAAAAGAAGCGCAAGGGTCTGGGAAATACAGGACTGTACACCCAGATAAGCTCTGTAAAGGGAGTGTGGCCTCTATCCTAAGGGGATAAAGAAAATGAGCCTCACAATCAGATTTAAATTCCAGCAAGTGTTTCCTTGCTGCAATAGTGGAAGATGGGTTAAAGTGAAGCAGGGAGAGGCACTGGGAGGCTGTTGCAGAAAACTGAGCAAGAGCTGAGTTAATGAAGGTAAACTGGCTAAAAGAAATGGCAATGACAGTGATGCTAGATGGATGGATTTGAGGTTCAAGGCAAAAAACAAAAACAAAAACAAAAAAACACAGCAGGCCAGGATGTGGGGAGGGAGGGGCAAGGATGAGTCAGAGATCACTTAGCCCTAACTCTCTGGCTTGGTCCATTAGTAGGTGGGGGTGGGGAGCCTGATGCTCTTCCTGAGCCAGGGAACACTGCAGAAGTAACAGGTGTGCAGTCAGCAGAGGACGGAGGTGGCTAAGAATGATGGTGCCCATGTGGGATCTCATATTTACTCTGAGATGCCTGACACACACCCTTACATACAAATCTGAAGCTTATGAAAGAGACCATACATTATTGCATACTAATTTAGAGACCTAGATATGGTGTATTTTTCTATGCAAAAATATATCAGGACTTTCCGATGACCCAATAGTTTCCCCTAAAGCCAAGCAACTGGTACAAGAGGCTGATTCTTCTCTACCTTCTGAGCCCCCGTCTTAGTCCATTGCTACAGAAATACCAGAGACTGGGTAATTTGTAAAGACATACATTTATTCAGCTCATGGTTTGGAGGTCCAAGGTCCAGGGGCAACTTCTGGTGAGGTTACAACATGGCAGAAGGCAGGACCTTGAGCAGAGCCAATAGGCAGAAATTTACAAGAGGCAGAAATGTAGTCCCTGGATGTTGGGAAGCTTAAGGACTTTCTGCCTATTCTGGTTTCTTTTCCCCTCTTACATATCTATCAGCACTCAATCATAGAGTCTCCACCCTAATGACCTTAATACACCCGAAGGCTTCACCCTGGGACACCATGAAGGGATTACATTTTCATCTAACACCTTTACAATACAACCAAGCACCAGCTAATGAATTTCTGGTGGACTTCCAAACTATAACCGCCCTTCCCTCAGCTATTCCTGGAATTTGCTCTTGGAGACTCATCCCCTTTTACGGGTGTGGGGGTATTTAGGTTAGGATTCTCTTTCCTCTCAGCCTGTCAAGTCCCTTGAGGGCAAACAAACCCAGTCCAACTCATCTTTGTCTTCCTCACAACACCAAGCACCCTGGCCTGCCTAAGACAGATGCTTAGAAAACACACGCTGAATGAGTGTGATTGCCAAAGCAACTACTTCAGCCTGGAGACATTCTGCAAATGACCTACCCAATACAACACAATTGCCAGGGAAGAGCAGGCCCTTAATCTCCTTAGCGGACTCAATGTTGTAAGGAAGCAACATAAATCTCCCAATCCTCTCAAGGAGTTTGTTCTCACAGAGAAAATTCAAACAAAAAGCAATCAGCCCTCTGCTTCCTTTTTCACAATAGAGCCATTTGGGCAGGCCAAAAGCACACCTTAAGCTAGAAGCTGTGTTATCATGAAAGGGGTGGGTTGAAAGAGCGCCCACGGCCAACACCATGCTGGAGACTTAGGGAGGCCAGAAAGTATTTTGGGTGCAATGCAGCAAAATGACTTACTGCAGTCCTACAATACCAGGTGACAGGACTCTGCCTCGCCCCCAGCCCCAAACCTCCAAAATCTGGGACACTCACCAAGAGATTTTCTGTAAACTGTTATGTAAAAAAACATTTTCATATGTTAAGAGCATAACAATTTCCCACCCATGAACCAGAAAAGATACATTTTCCATTTTCCCTTCCCTTCTTCCTTTCTGCCTTCCTTTTTCCCTCCCTCTTGCTCTTTCATTTTGAAAGACGCATTTTCCAGTGGAGTCTGGCTAGTTCAGGAAGGTTAAAACTCTGGCAAGCACGGTTCATAAGCCCACCCCATCACCCCAGCTGCAAGCACATCGGAAACAGCATAGGTGGGAGAGTTAGGGCCGCGAAAGCATAAAACTGAGAAATTCCCAGGAGAGAAATGATTCGTGGGAGAGCCAACCCTATCCCCTGTAAACATCCAGGATCCTCTACATCTTTGCTGTAGGGATTTCAGAAAAGGTGTGACTGCTCAGCAAAGCCGCTTTTATTTTGGTGCATTTGCAAGAAAATGCAGGATAAGACGGCTCGATTGCGGGATGCACAGCTCACTCGCAGCCCCACGCTCTCACCGTGAGAGAGATGACAGAGACGAGCTGAAGACAAGCGTTGTACCTGGACTCCGGAAGCGGCCTTGAGCTGTCGCCTTCCGACTCTGCGTCGGGTCTTTACGACCAGCGGGGGCCGCTCCCAGCGACGTTCCCCTTGCTGCGCATGCGCCACAACCTCCCTCCGCCTCTGCTTCGTCCTGCCTAACCCAGGTTTGCAGGTTACAGCGGGGTGGTGGTCCCTCACATGGCCCATAGCGTCTGTGCGGCAACATCTCAGGTGGCAACTGGACCCTGCCACTTAGTCCTTCTGCCCTGCCTTAGGCCAGGAGTCCGGGGATGGGGTTTGCTGCCTTCCGCAGAACAGAGCAGGCTGGCAGCATCTGCAGAAAGCGAGTCTGGGTGTAGCAAAGATCCCAGTGAAGAAAGTACATCGTTCCAGCGACATTTGTGGGACCTCAGTGCTACCCAGGCCTTTTACATATTCTCCAGCAGATTGTGTTTTCAGTGAAAGGAGCTGAGGTTTACAGAGGTGATGCGAAGGTCCAAAATCGGAATCCAAGTTTAGTCTCAAAGTCCAAGCACTCTCATTACTGTTTAAGGGGGTCATCTATTACAGATGTCTCTGGTGGTCAGGAGCCTGGTTTTAGACTTCAGGCCCAGGATCTGTGAGTTTAGACATTTCGCTTCCTTACATAAGGAGAAAAGTATAAACCCAGAGTTGGAAAGCACTTCGAATCTTGCCTAGTCCACAGCAATCCGTTCTCAGAAATGAACCTAAAATTGACTTAAATTATGCCACCCAACTTCCTTTTCTCACTCATTTTGCTTTCTAGGTGGAATATGCTTGCCAGAGAGAGAGAGGTAAAGTAAGAAATCCCCCCTGGGGGAGGGTAATGGCCACGCCACAATCCCTTCTCCCAGGACCTTGAACAAGTTGGAATGAGCTCCCTGCAGAGTTTCAAGCCACCAGGTCCGGGATTCCAAGCACCCTCAGCCTTGTAGGAGTCCAGTGACCTAACCACTAAGTCATCTGCTGGCCCCAACGCTCCTCCTTATATAACAGTCTTTTACAAACTAGACGGCTGTCATCTAGGAGTTAAGCAGTTCCTGGTGTTCTGTGGAACTGAGACTAGCAAAATCCCTCAGAATAAAAAATTAAAAAAGAAACCCAAGAATATACATCGAATCTTGTGAAGTTTGTTTGCTGACTCTTCCATGTATATAAAAGTGCCTCAGGTGAGAACAGCAGTTGGTGTAATGGCTATGTCACTGGACTCCCATGTAGTTGACAGCGGTTGGAGTCCCGGACCCAGTGGCTTAAACTCATGCCGTGCGCATGTGCGTGCATGCCCAAGACCCTGAGAGGAGAATGGAGAAGGGATTGTGGTGTGGCCATCCATCCCCATGGGAGGTGATTTCTTGCTGTCTCTCTGTCTCTCTCTGTCTTTCTGGTGAGTGCACGCACCCTATAGCTACAACCTCTCAAAAAAAAAAAAAAAAAAAAAAAAAAAAAAAAAAAAAATCAGGGAAGCAATGTGACTGTATCTAACTTCTGAGAAGTCTAAGTTGGTCTTAATGAGTTAATAAAATTCCTGAAGGTTCACAAGAGAGCTGATGGCGAGACCCTGGAATGTGGAGTGGAGAAGTCCTGAAGTTTGGCTCTGAGTTGGCCCAGCTCTCCCATCCATCCCCTTTTATGTCCATCCTTACCCCGGCCGCCACTTCATCTCTCCTCAAACTCACAGAGCACTTTTCCTGTTCAGAATAAACCAAAATCTGCGACCTACAAGTGGCATGGTGGTAAGGCACTGGACACTTCCACATGGCCGACCACGGTTCAAGTCTTGGACCTGGTGGCTTGCTTTCTCACTTCCCTCTTTATCTCTGGTCATATTAAAATAAATGAATGAATGAATGAATAAGTAAATAAATTTTAAAAAGAAAAAGGAACAAACCAAAATCTTCCTGGAATGGCTCAATATCTTCAAGTGACACAACCTTGGTAAATAACATTCCCCTAGCCCTTTGTGCCTGGATTTAGAAGATGTGGTTCAGACTAGATGCTCTGAAATCCTTCACACCTGCCACTAACATATTAGAAGCTGGAAAATAGCTTCATGATATTCCTATTTGGCATTTCACCTAAACCTAAGAGAAGAATTCTCTGTATATTATGAGAATTCCATATACTTGGACATGTAGGAAAAGACGGTTCTTAGGCAAAGGGAACACTGTCTTTCCAACTCATACATGAGCTGATGGTAAGGTTGGAGTCCTAGGCAAAGATGCTGCCAAGCCCCGCCACCTCTGCCTATTTGTAAGGCTTTCTATTCCTGATCCACAGCAGACTCTTAACTTCCAATGTGACATCGACTCCTTTGGCAGGCTGGGAAAACACACAAAATAAAATACTATAAAATACAATAGGTACTCACTGGAGAGAGACAGAGAGTGAGAGAGAGGTGAGAAAGCACCACCCAGGGGGATGACTATGCTGCAATCCCTTCTCTTTCATTTTCCTCTCAGGAGTTTGGGTTTACATGCACACGTGACCGGCATACTTTTCAAGCCACTAGGTCTGAGACTCAAACCAAGCAATCAGCCATGTAGGATCCAACTGCCTTAACCACCACGCCACCTGGTTGGCCCAACAACTTATTCTTTTTGCAGCCCATTTCAGATTCTGGATTCGTATCTCCTTCCGGTTCCCATGTGGTTATTTATCATTTAGGTCTCCCCACATCATCCCAGCATGTGGATTGTTTTTATCTAAATTTGGTGTGTTCTGCTGTACTGATATGCCATGGAATTTATGAATACAAATAGACACATCAAAATAAGATGTAAAAGAACATGAATATAACAGGACTAATTAAATATGCCATTTAGTAAAAAATAACACTGGCATTATTTCCTCTTGTTCCATGAAACGGAATATTTTTCTTTTATTCATGATAAAGTGAGAAAGAGAAAGCAAGAGAGAGGGGGGGGGAACACTCTCCACAGGGACTGGTCACATCACGACTCTCTTTCCGTCCTTCAGCCCATTGGAATGTGGCCACTAACACATGCTGGTGTGTTTCAGGTCACCTGAGCAGGAGATACAAATTAAAGTCACCATGTGGGATCCAGCTGTGCCACGGAGCCAGAACCAGAAGAATTTTTAACTTGTTTTGTTTTGTTTTTCTGCTATAGGACACATGCAATTGCAGTGGGGGAGAGGGGGTAGAGTGGTGGAGAGAAGGGAGAAAGTGAGAACTCACTCCCCCAGGGAAATGGCCACACCACTGTTCACTGTCCTCTGTTCTCTCAGGATTCGGGGCAAGGTGCACACATACCAGGCTGCCAGGTCAGGACTGAAACTGCAGTCAGCCATGTGGAATCTGGCCACCCCGACCTCCATGCCACCTGCTGGCCTGAATATTTGTACTCTTCTGTCTCCTTGTCCAATAATATTTTTCTGAACTTCCGGCAGCGATTAGTACTTCCTTCTGGTATTTTATGTAGTGGTGAAACTGAACACAGTCGGATGTAAAATGCACTCTGACTTGCAGTAGCTCTGCTTCCCTCTGATTCCCAGTGTGGGGCCAGTGTGATGACAGTAAGCTAAGTATTCTCTTAACAAAAGTATTCGAGCATGGGATACTTAGGATTTTACTTACTAGCAACGGCAAGTTTTCAGACGTGTAGGAATTGGCTTCCATTTCTCCGAAAATGTCCATCTACTTTGTATCCGCAGGCTCATTTTGATAGGCCAGCTGCTTGTTGATCGGGTCCTTTTGCATCTATAAACTCATCATATAGGCTATCCATGTCTAAAATGCCCATCATTTTCAAACACTACCAAGCACACTAGATACCATATGTTAAATATCTCAGGGGAAATGGTTTTAAAGCACAGAGGTAATATATTTTTATAAGGTTTTTGCCACTAGAGACTGTAAGAGGGAAAGTAAGAAATTGCCCTCCAGGGAGGATGGCCATACTGCAATCCCTTCTTCTCCATTCTCTTCCTGGGATTTGGGTATGTACATACACATGCCTAGCGTGAATTGTAAGCCACCAGGTCCGGGACTTGAACCTCTGTTGACCATGTGGGAGTCCAGTGCCTTAACCACAACGCCACCTGCTGGCCCCCAGCATAGAGGTAATTTGAACAGATGAAATCCAAGTTGGATCCCACTAGATTATATATTTTTTTTATTGGGGCTTTTTTTTTTTTTTTCTATAGGGCAGGTGCACTCACCAGAGAGGCACAAAGGGACAGAAAGCAAGAAATGACTTCCCAGGGGGGATGACCACTCCATAATCCATTCTCCTCTGTTCTCCTCACAGGATTTTGGGCGGGCACACACACACACACACACACACACACACATGTGCCCGGCACGAGTTGTAAGCAGCTGGGCCCATGTCTTGAACCACGGTCAACTACATGGGAGTCCAGCAACATAACTGTTACATCATCTGCTGGGTCCAGATTATAGTTTTTGAAAGGAAATTAAGGAAGTCCTGTTAAATGTTCATGTGGCTACCCTTTTCTAGTGACATTTTGTTTAGTTCCAAAAGTCTTATTTCCAAAAAATGAATCACCTTTCCATTGTATGAAGTTTTGTCTCAACTCATATCTAACATCAAACAACTCAGAGGCAGTCAGTCCATCCTTCTGTAAGCTCCCTCCAGTCTCTTCAAATATCATCAAACAGTTTTAGAGAAACAGCATATAAATATCTATTTTACTGTAATCCTTTTCTCCATTCTCACTCTCAATATGTTTCCCAATCAAAGGAAGACATTCTTCTTCTCCCACACTTTGAAAATATGGTTTTGCGGCGGGCCAACATTTTAGCATCTTTTCTATGGCTGGCAGCAGTGATGGCCATCTGGCGGGCACATGTCTAGAGAGGTTTTCTCCTTCTGTTTCTGTCATCGGAAATCTCATAAAGTGCTTCTGCACATTTTGAGGAAACTGAAAAGTAACCAAAGAGTTTCATTATGAAAGTCTCACTGTCACATTTAAGCAAACCACACCTCTTGTTGGCAGTCTGGTGGATGAGAGGTATGGGGCATTGAACAAGTAAGATCTTTTTGTTTTCTTCAGTAAGAAATTAACAGATTGAATGAAATTTGCCAAAATGTACATCTGCAGTGTCTGATTAATATGCAGATAGATGAGCTAAGCCTAGTTTGTTTTTAGACAAAATACCAACAATATTTAACGACTTCAACAGTTTCATTAAAATTCTCACAAAATCCAAGAAGATGATTTCTTTTTTTTTTTTTTTTTTGGAGAGGTTTTTGCTATAGGGCACGTGCACTCGCCAGAGAGACAGAGAGAGACAAAGAGACAGAAAGCAAGAAATCACCCCCCAAGGGGGATGGCCATGCCACAATCCTTCTCCTCCATTCTCCTCTTGGGATCTTGCCACCCATGCACACATGCCCATTGTGAGTTTAAGCCACCGGGTCCAAGACTTGAACCACGGTTGACTACATGGGAGTCCAGCGACATAGCCATTATGCTAACTGCTGGTCCCCAACAAAATCCAAGAAGGTGATTTGAAACTGTGTTCAAGTCAAAGTATCTAAGAACTAGAGGAACCCTTTTTTTTTTTTTTTTTTTTTTGTCATGATGGGCATATAACTTGAATCTAATGTACTATAGAAAGCACGATTCTTGGTGAGACATGACAAAAGCAGCTCTACTCATAAGGGGCTAACACATCTATTAGAATTTCTCTTTTCTTCACCCACAGGATATTTTGGTTGTAACCCTTGAATCAGGAAATGCAATTTTACTCTCTTTCATATAGCAGTCAAGGGCCTGGTATGATAATACATGTATGCCCAAACTAATTCAGTAGCTGCTATTTTTGAACATTGGTGTCTGTTTGGACGATGAAGATACTTTTGATTGTTTTAGAAGCACTTGTCTGTCTCATCCCAGACTTGTGCTTTCACATCGCCTTCTCCACCATGTTCAATCCCAAATTCTTTCTTGCATATTATGAAGTATGTTCTGTTTTGGTTATTTACCTCCTAAACCAGTTGTATGTGTCCTTCCAACTGTCATTAAAATAATGACAGTTGGTGATGGGGTCATGTTTGCATTGGATTTAACTGGTCTCATTTTTGTTTTCTGACCACTTAAAAAAACATGGTCACAACAGACACAATGTTAAAAAATTAAACTAGCACTCTACTATTTTGATACAAAGCACAACAATTAATCCTTAGGCAAAGTCCAAGATGGATTTAATATTCATGATTATAACACTTAAGTCATATCTCCCTGAATGATGCAACAATGCACAGATGACCATTATTGTGAATTGCAAAACAAGGTTGCCAACATCAGTGGCAGGTCAGGGGGAAGTGGGCCATAGCAGGTGCAGAAGATAGATAATCTATCTGACATTCAAGAAAACCATATGGGATTGTACTTTTCCTCCAGTCTTCTATAGTCAATGCCAAAATCCAGGACTTTTCACATTCTAGGGATGGTTTCCCAGGACACAGTACTTTCAGTATGAAAATTGGGATGACTAGTTACCCTACAACCAGTACCATATGCCGTATTAACCCAAGGGCTAGCTCTCCAGAAGCAGGAGGGTATGTACATGGAACTGGAGACCTTCTTACCTCAATTCCACTTATGGAATATTTTTCGTGGATTCCCCTTCTTTAAAGGTAACAGAAACAGAACTTTGTCTTTTCTTAGACTTTAGAATCACTACAAGTTCATTACTCTAGATCTGGAAACACAGGCAAAACTTAGGGCTGTGCCTTCTCCAGCTCAGGTCCTGAAAGACACACAGGAAATCCACCACCACCACCACCACCAAAGAAAGGAGAAGAAAAAAGACTCACTGAGAACTCCAGCCAGTCAAGGAAGGAAGGAGGGAGAAAAGCAGCCACAGATGGCTGGTAGAGAACAGAAACCACACCAGGGGGAGACACTCACCTCCCCAAACTCACCAAGTTGGCTTTCTCTCAGTAGCTTCAGGGTTCAGATGTCCTACCAAGGTTTTCTTTACAGGCTCCTTCTTCACTGCTGGGGCCTTTTTGGGGTCCATGCCATGGTCACCCATGCATGTGACCATTTCAGAAGATTGTTCTGAAACAATCTGTGTTCTTTCTGATCTAGGACCTGTTCCAGTGGAAAGGTAGGTTGATAAACTATCTAGATTTGCCCAGGACTACGATGGTAAACTGGAGATAGTAAACTAGTGGGTCGTTGGGAAAGTCATGATGCATTTTTGCAAAGAAAAATACATCATGACTTTTCCAATGACCCAATAATTCAGTGTTAAACTAGAATTGAGGAGTTTCCTGGGAAACAGGACTTTCAGTGCTAAAAGCACAACTAAGGAATCCAGGATAAGAGACTTTCAGCACTAAAACTAGGGCCATGGGGTCTCCCAGGATGTGAAGCTCTCAGTGCCAAACCAGAATGATTCCTTCTGAAAGGAAGGTCTGGTGGGCTCTGGTTCTAATTCTCACTGGCATTTCTTATTACCTAGGGCAAGTACCTTCTCTTCCAGTCCCCAGATTTCACCACAGGTACACAGACTATTTGACCCTCCAAGTATACCATATTCTGCCCAAATGTGACTTCTCATTTTTTTTCCAAACCTGAAAATCCAACTGGTCTACCTAAACACGTAAATCAGTCCTCACTCCTACTAAGCCTTTGTCCCATTTTGTGAGCTTCCTTTCAGTCCTGGCAGGCACCGGTCTTAGACTTCTGTCCTCTACAAGTAAAGTAGGAAGGATTAAGAGGACAGACTGGAACTGAGCTGCTGGGGCAGGGGGCGGGGGGATAACAAGGACTCCTGGCCCTCAATTCACTATATAATCATTTCTAGTTATTTTTGTCCTCTGACCCTTAGTTTCTTCCTCTGTAAAACAGTCACTAACATACCTATCTCATAGTATCTCTGGGTGATTTCCTAATCTGATACGTGAAGCATTTAGTGCAGTGTCCAAAACAAGCACATAACAGCTACTGAATGTCCACTGTCCTCTTCATGAACCACAGTCCACAGATCTCTCACTCTGCACTTAACAGGAGCAAATCCCTAAACTCTGCTTCCTCCAGAGCAGTTGGCCAAAAACTGCTCAGATAAACTGGTCACGATACAGGAATGCTATTCTGTTAGAGGTCAAACTCTGAGCATCGGGAACCTTGATGAAACACTCCGCTTATCTTCTCCGCACTGGCTGCATCTCTGAAGAGGGCAAATCCCAACCCTTTTGATCTTCCAGCTCGGAGATCCAATTTTACTGGATCCAATGACCTCTCCAAATTTGGTAAAACAGTCTTTGGGGGAGGTCACGGGTCACCAACGAACAATCTTCTGAAATGGTGACAAGAAGTCTTACAAGGAGGCAGTGAGCCTGTAAGAAAGCTTTATAAGAAAGCCAGAAGTTTGAGAGGGACTGCAAATAAAACCACTATGCACAGCAAAGGACTTCATCCTCCCATCCTAAGCCTGTAAAGACCCTCATGAATCTACATGACAGCTTCCTTATTAAGGTCTCATGTCCACCCTGATCCTAACAGAGCTCTAACACAACCTCAGCACCCCCGGGGTGGGAGAGAGAGAGAGAGAGCAAGGTAACCTCACCAGGCCGCAGTCCTGGGCACTTGGCACAACTGGAAGTTACTTTAAAAGCCATTGACAGTGGCTTCAGAATATCCCTGTCTTCCCTATACCCATACTGTCTTCCTGGGACAAAGACCCCGTCTACAATGACCCGGTGGGTGCCCAGTTTAGAGGAAGGAGGGGAGGATGGATGGATGCATGGATCAGCAGAGAGAGGTAGAACCGAGAGGGAGGGAGGACTAGGTAGGACGCAGACCCCGACCTTGCTCGGCCCGGGTCTGGGAGCACACCCTCCTTCTGACTACCCACCCTCTCGGCAGCGCGGCTCCAGGACCGCACAAAAGTCGACCCAACAACTGGCAGCAACTCCGCAACACCTATACCGAGTCCTCCGAGTCCTCGCCACAGTTCTTCTGGTCCCTGGTCCGGGGTGTCTAGCTACGGGTTGGGCACCCTTCGGGAGCTGCTTCGTGTCTGCTCTTGGCCCCACCCACGCCTCGTGGCACGTTAGTCTTAGCGCGATCAAACAGCAGCCACGACCACCTCAGCCATACCAGCTGCGTTCCGGGGCGCAGCGAGCTGACTTTATAAAGCTCAAATCGGAGGCGGGGCCACTCTACCTAACGCGCATGCTTAATGGCCACTCGCCTGGCACTCATCTGTGCACCGGCGTCCCATTGGCTACAACGATGCCTGCTCTGTATCTAGGCGAGCTTGTTCTCTTACCTCCACACACCCCAGGGTGAGGTGGGTCCCCTGGTCCCGCCTGGCGGTTACCTGCCACCTCCCGCGGCGCGATACGCCCTCCGCCCAATGAGCCCACAGCGTCTTGACCCCTCGCGCCAAGGGCTCAGGGCTTCAGAGTCCCACAGCAAACTCATTGAAAGCAAATCTAGAAAAGCAAAGTTTAAGTGAGAAAAATATAAAAATTGATATTTGCAAAAGCATAGTAGACGATCAAAAAGTCAAAAAGTTAAAAGACAAAAGATAAAATGCAAATCTAATTTCTAGCTTAGGGTATTTATTCCGATTTCTATTTAGATCTCCATAAGCAGAATTTCATGATCTGTGAATCAAGCATTTCTCATTTGGTTGCCTTTCCTATGAAAAGGCAATAGGGGGCACTAGATGCTAGGGTTTTGTTTGCTAGGCAAGGCGTTTCAGCTCCTTCCGTTATTTTCAAACACCAAATATCAATAATTTGCTTTTTAAAAATAGAGATGGTTATAAAACCTGGCAGTAAACGGGAAAAACAGGAGATGGGCTGCATAGAAGCCTAGGTGAAAAGGGCATTCCATGAGTGCACCAAGTCCTATTGACCAAGCACCTGGATCTGGCACTTCTCTGCATGGCCTTGAAATTCCTGAAGCATCTGACAAGAATAAAAAGCCAATTCCAGGACAAAAAGGAACTTATGAGGTGGGCAGTGAAAAAGACACAGCACAGTAGAGAGTGAGCACCAGGACAAGGGGCTGACTCTTCTTAAACCTAGATACATTTGAACTATTGCAAAAGACAGGGACTTTTCGTGCTAAAATGGGGACTGAAGGATTTTGGAAACACAGGACTTTGCTGTAAGCAGTAATGATAACTACAACAGCTAAAATGTAATGAGTACCTAGTGTGTGCCAGGCAACGTTCTAAGAGAGAGAGAGTTGTGTGTGTGGGAGGGTGTGTGTGCACGCGTGTGTAGTATGTTATTATGCAATAGAAGATCTCTCCATGTCATGATCCTTCTGCTTCAGCCTTCCTAGTAGCCAAGACCACAGGCACATGCCACCACATGAGACACTTTCAGTGTGTCGCTGTAACCCATGCTGGCTGCGAATGCATGGTTTTTCCAACTCTCGTTCTTCATGACAACCCTCTGAGGTAGATACTACCGTCATCGCCATCCTACAGAGGAGAAAACTAGCAACTTGCTAAGGAATCCAAAGAAGTGCTAGACTCAGAGAGAAAACTTGAGTGTATGTATGCTCTATGGTCATTCTGCATGGGTTCAAACTATGGCTCCATCAAACTTATTAATATGGTAATATTGTGACTGGAACATAGGAAATAATAGTATATATCATTATCCTTTTTTTTTTTTTTTGCCAAATGTAATACTCCAAATTAACTAGCATTTCATCAATGATTTTGAATCAGACCATGGAGGAATTTGCAATCATGCCATTTCTCTTCAGTGAAAAAGTGTTGTATTTCAGTTCAACTGTTTTATTTTTTGAATTTTTAGATTAATTTCACATTTTACATCAAATCCCCATAATTTGTATTTTCTCCCATTCTGAGGGTTGTCTTTCACTCTAATTATTGTTTCCTTTATTGTGAGGAAGCATTTTAACTTGATGTAATCCCACTTGTCCATTTTGGGGATTATTACCTGTGCTATTATAATTAAAAGAGTGGTCCCTGGGCAACTGCAGCAGCACAGTAGCAATGCAATGCTCCATGATGCGGATCCCACATGGGAAGATCCTGGGTTCTCACCCTGAGGTCGCCCTGTGCATGCATGTGCCTGTGATTCTACTGGGATGTCCATAGTCCTGCCTGACTGATGGCAGGGGTGGATCACGGCAATGAAGACACTTTGGGGGGTTTCTTTTATGTACCTTCCCTACCTTCATGTTTCATGGAAGAAATGAATGAACAAAAACTTAAAAGAAGGAAGAGAATGATCCTTATTCTTCAGGAACTTAAAGTCAAGTTATAAGTCCAGCTGTGGGGACCAGCAGGTGGTGTGGTGGTTAAAGCACTGGGCACTCCCACATGGCAAACCACGGTTCGAGTCCTGGACCTGGTGGCTTGCTTTCTCACTCTCTCTCTCTTTCTGATCAAATTAAAATGAATGAATGAATGAATGAATGAATGAATGAATAAAATTAAATAAATAATCCTAAAAAAAAAAAAAGTCCAGCTGCTGTAGTTTAGTAGTAATGCAAGTGCCCTGCAGGGTTGGAAACCATGTGGCTGAACAGGAATTCAGATCTCTATGTCAGCTTGAAGGCATGCTGGGGATATATGAGGGTGCCTGGGATTCCAAGGAGCTGGAGGGCTAGGGAAAGGGGATTGTGGCATGGCAAGACCCTGTCGAGGGTGCTTTTCTCGCTCTCTCTCCCATGTTTATGCATTCTTTATCATAAGAAAAAAGTTTTTTTAAAAATCTAGTTGAAGAGGTTGATATGATTCATATAGCTAAAGAGTTGCTATTGAATGGGTGAATAAGAATAATAGATACACATATGCATTCAGAAAAGGGGACAGTTGTGAAATGGGATGGCTGGGTCTAGCTCACAGGTTACTCAGCAGAATACCTGCTTAAATTTCTTCATGAACAATCTCCATGTCACCATTAGGAGGCAGCCTCAGATCTTGAATAGCATGAGCTAATCATTATATTCTTTGAATTTGATTATCATAAGTGTATATATTTAACTAAAAAGCATAGTTGATTTTTATTTGTCACTAAAATTCAGTTAATGAATGGCATACATCTAGTTTTTTAGCTGAAAGGATACATTTATTAATTTTGGAGGAAAAAGCATTTATTGATCTCACGAATATTTATCTATTAGATAAATTGGACTCAGAAATAAACATGTCAAATCAGGGCCTATTTCTGGAGTGAGGGGTATGGAAAGGGATATTATTTTAATTGTAACCTGAAATGTAAGAGGGAGCCACTGGGCAAGGAGCCAAGGAACCACATTGTGAGCAGCAGTAATGGCCTGAGCAAAGCCTTGAGGTAGGTCCTGTGCCTATGAAAACCCAAGGAGAGCACAGAGGGCTCTAGAATTGTGAATTAGAAATGGAGGGAATTGGTTTTGCAAGCAGCTATGTTCACAAAGAGTCAGAGCTGAGTATGGCTTCCTGCCTCTGAGTCTTCTTGTATTTAAATCATCTGGACTGTGCAGTCTCCAAAAGTTATGCACAAAGATGACCTCTAATCTCCTGATGTAGTTTCCACCACCTTTACCCTGTGGAGTCCTATGTGCTCTCTCTCTGGGTGGAAACTACATCAGGAGATTAGAGATTGTCTTTGTGTATAACTTGCTTTTCATTGGTTGTCCTTCACTGAATTTAATGCTGCCATGTCTGTGTACATTGAAGTGCAGAGAGCATCTGTCTTGAATGCAGTGACTCTTATTCTCTTTATCTTAATGGTAAAAGAGTTAAGTTCTTCTGTATAATAAAAAATGGATTTACATGCATTTGCCAGTGTACATGGACAGCACAACCTCACCTTAACCAAAACAGATTTCTTGGAAATAAAACCCGAAAACAAATATTAAAGAGAGTGCAGTCTGTTAGTCTTCATGAAGCTGTTACTGTACCTGTGATTCTTGGAATGTAAAAATCAAACAGAAAATTGGCTTGCTGAGAAAAAAATTTTATTTACAGGGTTAACCCTGTGTCCTCTGCAGGTTTCTTTGAGCAAGCAACCCCTAATGCAATAAAAATGGCATCCTTGAGGAAAAACAGATTATCTTGTCTGATAAGGCTGCCTCTTCTCATTATGCTTATGTTACTCTGATAATGTATTTCTCCCTTTTTTTTTTTTTTGAGAGGTTTTTTGCTATAGGGCGCGTGCTCTTGCCAGGCAGACATAGAGAGACAGAGAGACAGAAAGCGAGAAATCATCCCCCAGGGGGGATGGTCATGCCACAATCCCTTCTCCTCTATTCTCTTTTCGGGATCTTGGGCACTCAAGCACACGCGCCCAGTGTGAGTTTTAAGCCTCCGGGTCCGGGAATGCAAACCGCGGTCGACTACGTGGGAGTCCAGTGACATAGCCATTACGCTAACTGCTGGTTCCCTCTCCTTTTTTTTTATAGAAGTTTTTGCTTTAGAGTGTGTGCAATCACTGAAGAGAGAGACAGAGACAGTGAGAACTCAGCCCCCACCCTCACCCCAGGCAGTATGGCCATGCTATGCTGCAAACCCTTCTCTTTCATTCTCCTCCAGGGATCTTCGGGATGCACACACACATGCTCAGCATAAATTTCAAGCCATTGGGCCTGAGACTCGAACCATGGTAGGCCATGTGGAAGTCCAGCGACGTAACTACTAGGTCATCTGCTGGCCCCCGGGTAGTGCATTTCAATCAATGTTATTACTTAAAGAAAAGGTCCTAAGAGAAGGCTTAGGCCAAAAAATAGAACATGATAATACTTGAAAACATACAATTGAGGAACATTCTATAAATCCTTTCAACAGTGCAGAGTTTACTGTAAAGGTCAAATTTAGTACAAGTTTAATGAGAGGAGAGAGTCATTTCCTTTCTTTCTCCTTTGTGTTTACAGTTTGGTCTAAGAGCTGCTTGTCATAACAAGTTTAAGTGGAATCTCTAAGAAATTTCTTGGAAACAAGGGGAGTGATTATTAAAGGGATCTGAAATGCCAGCCAGGTGTAGGTGGAGCGTTACTTTTCAAAAAGCACGACACATCTGCAATACCATAGGCAGCCCTGGAATACCTTTCAGCATTTGTATAAGGCACTTTCTCAGGCCAGACTTCATAAAGGTTATTGGGATGAAGACGAGAGAAAGAAATTG